CCTCCCCTCACCCCGGAGCCCTCCCCACCAGGCCGCCACAGCTAGGAACCTTCCATTCCGGCAACCCCTCCCGCCCCCCAACAGGAGCCCTCTCACCCACCTCCACTCCCTGACTGGGCAGCTAAGGGCCCCTACCCAACGTTCCTCCTTCCCCGTAACTCCCGAGGCCGTGCGCATCTCCTTACTTTGTCTCACTCCGTGAACAACTCCACAAGCTCACTCCGAAAGCTCTGAAGAACTCTCGTCAGCGGCACAGCCGGGAACTGTGCGGCGGAGCCTCCCAAGCACGCGGTGCTAAGGCCACGTGCACTTCCGGGCGCTCCCAGAAGCCCCCAGGCGCAGCGGGCAGAAAGTTCTCGAGGCCTCTCTTTACCAGGCAAACGATTGGCTCAGGAGAGCACGTGACGGGGCCCTGTGTTACTGTAGTGATGCGCCGGTGAGTCTCACGAGATTGATGTTCCGAGATCGATGTTCCGAGACTGATGTTCCGAGGCTTGTGCGCCTCGCGAAGCAATCGCCGGGGCTCGGCGCCCCGTCGACCTTCCGCCAGTGAAAGGGCCTACCCACAAAGCAGTGGAGTTGGAGGAGGAGTAAACTTGCAGATGGAGAGCTCATTTTGCAAAGCTGGTCAAATTTTCTTTAAAGTTTATTTTCTATTCTTGGTGATGTCATAAAGATATTCTATATTTTTATTGATGTCTTATCTAGCTGTATCAATTCCTAAGGCAGAAGTGTTAAAATCTCCACCTATTCATAATTATATGAAAAAGTCTGTTTCTCTCTTTATTCTGTCAACTTTTATTTCATATATTTTGAAGCTCTGTTATTGGGTACTAGTACATTTATAAATTCTATGTGTTCCTGACTAATTGACCCTTACATCATTATTATCTTTCACGTCAGGCAATATTCTTTGTCTTTAAATACATTATGTCTAATATTAATATAGCCATTCCCACTTTCTTAGGCTTACTCTCTGCATGGTATATAATTTGGGATTCTCTTACTATCAACATATCTGAGTCATTATTTTTAAATTGTGTCTCTTGTAGATAGCAAAATCCTTGCTCTTTCTTCATTCTGACAATCTCTGCCTTTCAATCGGAGTGCTTAACCCATTAACATTGAGTATAATTTTTGAATGGTAGGATTTAAGTGTATGCTTTTTCTGTCTGTCTTAGTGGGCTCATCAGGCTGCTATAACAAAATACCATAGACTGGGGTGCTTATAAACGACAGATATTTGTTTCTCACAGTTCTGGAGGCTAGGAAGTCCAAGATTAAGGTGCTGGCATATTTTATATCTGGTGAGAGCCCACTTCCCAGTTAACAGCCATCTTCTCATCATGTCCTCACATGGCAGAAAGGGTGAGGAACCTCTCTGGAGTCTCCCTTATAAGGGCACTAATCCCATTCAAAGACTCCTCCCCATGACCTAATCACCTCCTAAAGTCTCCACCTCCTAATGCACTGGGCATGAGGATCCAACATGTGAATTTTGGGAAGGACACAAACTTTCAGTCTGTAGCACTGTTTAATCTATTTTTGTTCCTACGTTCCCCTTTTCCTGCCTGAGATAATCAATTATTTTAAATCCCATTTTAACTTGTCTTTTGCTTTTCTTAAGATTTTGTTTATTAATCTGAGAGAGAGAGAGAGAGAGGCAGAGGGAAAGGGAGACACAGGCTCCCCGCTGAGCAGGGAACCCGACATGGAGCTTTGATCCCAGGACTTCGGGATCATGACCTGAACTGAAGGCAGATGCTTAACTGACTGAGCCACCCGGGTGCCCCTTGTCTGTTGCTTTTTTAAGCAATTCTCATTTTGCATTGATTCATTGTGGTTGCTCTAGAGACTATAATATATATCCTTAACTGTTCGCTTGTCTACTTGTGGTTAATACTGTACTACTTTACATAAATGTAAGAAGATTTCCACCAGATAGATTCATTCGCCCTCTACCTCATCCTTTATGCTGTAGTTGCCATACGTATTACATCTACATATATCATAAACCCTATGATATACTATTATAATTTTTACTTTAAATAGTCGTATGTATTATTAAAAAAATTAAGAGCAAATAAGTATTCTTTAATGTTTGCCTACATGTTTACCATTTCTGGTGTTCTTCATCTCTACCCAAAAATCAAATTTTCCTTCTACTACTGTGTTTCTTTAGATTGAAAGGCCTCCTTTATCATTTCTGTTAGCACAGGTCTACTGATGAATTCTCTTGGCTTTCATTTATCTGAAAAGGTCCTTATTTCCCCTTCATATTTGAAGAATCTATTCCCCAGAGATAGAGAGTTCTGAGTTGAAACCTGTTTTTTGTTCTTGTTCAACACTTTAAAATGTTGTCCCACTGACTCCTGATGCCCATTGTTTCTGATGAGAACTCATTTGAGTTCTTGTTAGTGTTCTCCTAAACATGGTGCTTCGGCTAATTCTGACTGCTTTCAAGATTTTCTCTTTATCCTTTGTTTTCAGTATTCTGACTACGATACAGCCACATGTGACTTTTCTTTGTATTTATCGTCCTTGGGCTTCACAGAACTTCTTGAATCTGTAAATTGTGTCTATCTCCAAATTTTGAAAACACCAGTTACTTTTTCTTTAAGTAGTTTTTCTTCCCCTTCTCTGTCTTCTCTCCTACCATCCCAAATACACATGTTAAACCTTGTCATGTTGTTCCACAGATTACTAAGGTTCTGTTCTGTTGTTTACTTTCTTTTTAAAATCTTTTTTCCTCTCAGTTTCTCAAAATGGATCATTGCTATCGATCTGTTTTCCAACAAGTAATATGAAGCTTCTAAATATTCATAACTGTTAACAAACACCAGTGTTAAAAGAAGGATGGAGAAAGAAGAGCCAATAATGGATTGTGTAAAGACCTGCTAAGCTCTAAGGGCACATGGCGACCCTGAACCCAGGGCAGGGAGTACCTAACGCAGTGGGAGATCATGCAGCCTCTGCAGAAAACTAGTCCATCATAGTTCTTCGTTGAACCCCAACAGAAGCAGACTGGCTGACAGAAGCACAAAGGGAATTAGCTGAAGGATGGCAGGTGTTCCACAGGCGTTTGGGGACGGCTGGAGAGCCAGGCTTGGCGGCTTTGCAGAGAGGAACAAGGGTCTGAATCACGCTGCTGTGCTGGGCTAGTGAAGGCACCTGTGAAGCTGCCTCACACAACTGGGCACAGACACTGGTTTGCACCAGCAAGGTAAGGTGCACGTACTGTCATGAGAACACAGCTGCCGCTGCTCCTTGGGAAACAGGTCTTACTGCCCCTGCTGCCACCCACCCACCCTAGTGGAAAATGTGTGGCCCCTGCTTCTTCCCATCTCTGGCCCCAGATTCAGTTGGCAGCAGGTGCATCTGATTGGTGGGACCAGGTCATGAACCCATACACTAGTTGCAAGGGAAGCTGAGAGAATGCAGACCTGGCATTTTCTGCTCCTCTTCTGCGAGGGAGGTGGGGTTCACATCAGTTGAGGGAACTGCCTGTGTAAAGGTCCCGGGGCTGAAAGAAACATGGTGAGTATCAAACTGAAAGGAGACCAGTGGGGCTGGCGCAGAGGGAAACAGAGAGACACAGGGTGAGGGGCGTGCTGGGCACTGAGGCTCTAGAGAACAGACCATGCGGTCTTCATGGTTGGTCTTTACCTAAAAGAGTTGGGAACACATTGAAAAGTTCGAAGTCAGGGGTGCAAGTGCACTCACGTGTGTGTATGACATGGTCACATTGTACTTCCAGATGCTTTATCTGGCTTTCTTTTGGAAGAATCATGAGGGGAGGGGACGAAGTGGATGCAGAAAGCCTATTGAGGGGCAGTTGGGGCTGTCCCAGGAGAGATGATGGCGGCCTGAACAACAATAGTGGTAGTGTCATGGGACTGACAGGGCAGAGTTAACAGACCTAAAATACGTGGAGAACTAACCAAACACTATGAATAATTGGATGGGGAAGGTGAGCAAGGGACACATCCTCGAATTCTGGCCTTTAACATGGGTGTATGGGGATTCCATTCACTGTGGCTGGGGACTTGGGAAGAGCACCAGCTTGGGTGGAAAATCATGAATTCCATTTTGGACATGTGAGTGGGAAGCATCCAAGTGGAGATGTCTAGAATGCAGCTGGATATAAGGGGTAGGGACTCTGAGGGGAGGTCTGGACTAGGGATAGAAGTGGGGCATCATGGAAAGCTCCAAGTGGCCCAAGGATGAATCCACACACAGCCATGCTTCACCTGCCCCCCCTCCCAAGTGTGGGCATGGGCCAGGGGATGGGCCACTAGTGGGAACGGACACCAGGGAGCGAGGTGCAGCTGAGCAGTTGTCCTGGGCTACTGGAAGGCGACCCTCCCCTCCACCGGACGTCTCAGAAAAGCTGGTGATCCTTCGGGCCACAATCCCTGTCACCCAAAGGAATGCCTAGAGACAGGACACTGCTGGCTGCCCTCCCAGCAGCCATTTCCCCTTTCTTCTTTGCTATGAGGACCCCCTTTTTGTTTAAGTGTCTGTCCCTCCTCCATGCAGCTCGAGGCATGGTAACCCCCCCATCCTCACATCCAGATGCAGATCTGATTGGTCCAAGGCCAGCAGCGCATGGCATTCCTAGGGCAACTATTAGTGATCTGGGCAGCCCGTCATCCAAATGGCCCAGCAGGGTGGGAGGGAAGGATTCACATTCTGTCTGAGGAGGGCTTCTCTGTCTTTGGGCAGGATCGAGGAAGACCGTGGTCCCGATTGCTGCTGACAGACCTTCCCCAGCGCACAGAGAGCAGCCTGATGCCACAGCCAAGACTTGACACTAGAAAGAGGCTGGGTCTTGGGGCAGCGTGGCACCCGGGGACACATGGTGGAGGGACCAACAAGGGACAGTGGTAGTCACACTGGGAGGGCCAGTGAAGGGAGAGGGTGGCCACACGGGGAGGGAGAGTTGAAGGACAGTGGTGGCCACCCTGAGGAGGGACAACAAAGGGACAGTGGTGGTTCCCCTCTGGGAAATTCAGGGGCCAGAACAACAATTGCAATCATCAGAAAACCTCCAGCTCCAGCTGAGCTTCAGGCCCGCAAATGCCAAGGTGGCCTATTTGGAAGGAAGGGTTTTGTCCCTCCTGGCACCCACTCCCAGCATCATTGCCCCCACCAGCCTCCCTATGAGGGCCCCATCAAGCCTCAGGAGCCCCAAGGGTACGAGGACTGGCCCCACATGTGACATGACATCCCCCACCACACGAGCCATTCAGTGTTCTGACCCTTGCGCAGAGTCGAGGAGGAGCCTACGTGACCTGGAGCACCGCTGGCCACATGCGTTCCCAGCTACTACACACCCTTGGGCCCCTGTCTCCCAGGACTACAGTTTGGACAGCACGGTTGACTCAGGACACGTGCTCCACTGATGATGATTTTGCCACATGAATGGTGACCTGTAGGAAAATGGAGACCCCAAGGCCCACCCTGCGGATCCGCTCGAAGGTTACGGGAAGGACGGGGGTGGGAGCGGCAGAGGGAAAACGGACGCAGCTCTTCACTTCTTGCTATTCCCTTTCCCTCCATCTGTCTGCACACGGCCCTCCCCAAGTCCCCCCCTCAGTGCACCCCATTTTCCCATCTTTGCCCTCCTGGCTTAAGGGCGCTGGTCTCTTACTGGGTGCCCTGCAGTGTCCCATGGATCCCAAATGGCTGAACAGATGACTAGATGGACGTAAAGCCCCAGGGTCTGACCCATGGGAGGTGCTCGGCCAATGCTGCCCCTCCCCTGTCCCCTTGGGGGACCGCGGCGGACTGACCACTGCTACCCAAGTCCTCGAAGCAGCCCAGATGGGAAGCAGAAGTGCCCCAGGGCGCGCGGGGAGTCAGCCCAGAACCCCCGAGGG